AACAGGGAAAAATATCTTTGAAAATAGTAACTAAATGACAGGCAAATTTAGCTTCATTATCAGTCCAACAAAATTTCAGAGAGAACTCAATTATGATCGAGGAAATTTACAACCCTGCACACTGGTTAGGACAAAAAAGTTAATTAAAAATTTAAAAACCTAGACTCATTAGAGATTGATATTTGAAATAAAAATCTATTATACATGAATTCTTGCTGGTGTCCCTAATAGTTTATGATACAATCAAATTTAGTTTAGGAAAAAAGCATCCAGAAGCAAGACATTTAAAATCTGAAAGAAATAAAAGTCCTGATAGCATTATTTAGGCATCAAGCTAACCTGCTAACCTTGCAGCCGAAATGGCTCAACATCTATGCAAGTTTCCACGTACTCCAAAGAGAGTCCAGCATGCATTTGATAGTGCAGAATTAGCTGTAAAACTGAAATGGTGTCACAGGTTATTTTCTACCCTCATGTTTCTGATTAACAGCTCTAGGCAAAATGAAGTAAAAAGTATCAGATTAAGGGAACTCACAGTTAATCCGAGCTTTACAGAAACTTTGTGTTCTGCTTCTCATGTAGCAGTAAAAGGGGTCATGTTGTTTTTAATGTAAATCATGAAGCTTATTCTTCACTCTTGCTCTCAATGTAATCGCAGAGAAAAAAGCTCATGGAGAAGACATCTTTTGAGGAATCAAATACTTTGAAATAGAAGAATTACTACATGTGTGCTCCTGTGTGGATGTATCAGGTTCCTCCCTTTACCGCACACACATACCCATTAGTAAGTCGTTGAACATATCTACTAAATATGTATTTTTATATTGTGACCCAACTTGCTTTTAGATTCAATTACAATCATAAGTTTTATATTTAAAAAAGAGCCAATACTTACATGAAGTTTATTAAGTGTCTATAATTCAAGTATTTCTGAGAACAATCAATGGAAATTGATTATTACAAAAGTAAATTAGTTATTGGGAAGTACACAAGGTAAGTATAGAGAATTACTATCAAAGCAGATGATATATGCCTAAGGAGATATCACACTTTTAACAAGCCTCAGGTAAGCCTTTAGCATGTAAACTGAAATTTTAGGGACATAAAGGAATACGATATTAATGGGCAAGTTCTCAGGTAACTTTTAAGTTTAAAAAGAAGATGGCTAAATGGAAGAAATCTTTGAAAAACTCCATAATATTATTTTAAAGATAAGTTAAATATTCTTATGACCTTGATAATTCTTATATTTCTCTCATCTGCTAGAAATATCTTAATCTAATCATCTTGGAAAATGCATAATGACAAATTCTAAACTTCATTTTGCCTCCTATATTCTAGAAATATTGTAAACAAAAATAGGGTTATGTATATTTTCAAATTACTTACTACTGAAAACACATTACCTAACACAACACTTACATAAGCATCCCTTATAATGCTATACAAGATTACTGTCATAATAGTTACAGAGGAAGGAATTTACGACCATTTAGCAGTTATTCACAAGAGAACTAAGCAAAGTAAGATTCTGCTCTGCTACAATAGAGGACAAGACTAAAGCACAGAAATGCTAAGTAATTTTCCCAATACCTGAGAAAAAAATTATAGACAGAGAGGCAATAACAGCTGGAACCAACTAATTACAGCTGGCCTATAAACTGCAAATATGAAATAATGTAAAAAATTACAAATATGAACTCAGCATTAAAACATTTACACTTAACTGAGGATGGAAAATAAATGTGAAGGAATTTAGTGAATAGCCTAAATTGCAAACAGGGATCGTTTCAAATTGAAAGCAACAAACCCTATGGAATTATGTATATTAATTAGTTCACAGGCACTTGAGAAAATGCCTGTGAAAACAAGCTACATTCAATAAAAACTAAATTATGATCCCAGGGCACTTAGTTTTATAGGAAATCTAAAAGGAATATACAATGAATATAACATATGTCTAACGAGGCACTAAAATATATTTTGTATGTGTTTGTTAGAATAGTGCATATGTGTGCTTGGATGTGTATATATGGATGTGCAAACGCAGGTGATAGATATGGGAGTCAGAAGTCAACCGTGAGTGTTGTTCTTCAGGAGTCATCTGCTATCTACTTTGGTTTATATTTACTTGTTTGTTTATTTGTATAAGAATGTTTTGCACTAAGATCTGAGGTTCCCTGATAAAGCTATAGCAGCAGGTCAGTGAACCCCAAGATCTGCCTCTCTACTTCCCTATAGAATGGATAATATACACAATTCTACACATCCAGCTTTTTTTTTTGAATACTGTGAATACAACATAATTTTTATGTGTTAGTATGGCAGGCACTCTATTGATAAAGCTAGCTTCCCTGCCCTTGAAATATATCTTTACAGAAAATAAACACATATTTAAAAGATCATTCACGAAACCAGGGACTCAATTCCCAAGGTTACTAATAAATAAATATTTATGTGAATAATAAATATATTAAAATTAGGGTTAAAATACTATGTATGCATTATAAAGGTACAGTATGATCATAAAAATATAATATGAGGAAGTATTTCTCAAACAATAATGGTGCCAACTACAAAATAGATGCGATGCCAGGCAAACTGACAAATGCTAGGTATAAAATTAATTTTACTAAGCAAATGGCATTCTATATAAAAATTGCAATGCAAGAACAGTGGTGCCTAAACTGAATATTTAAAAAATATTTTTTAAAAGAAAGACAACACTATGTTAAATCATACCTACTTTAACCTCAAAAGTATTAATGAAAACATCCTAATTGCACTTATGTTAATTTCTTTAAAGTTTTACAGGTAATTTATGCTGCTATCTCTTAACAAGGTAAACAAAAAAAGCTACCTTTATCATCAATTCTACAGTAACAGAAATATTTTTGCCTTCCAAAGACTGACAAAATTCCAGACTGCATATTGTAATAATGTGATTAAGAATAAAAACTTGTAATAGAAAGTCATGAAATAGATAAGAAAGGCTAATACAGCTCAAAAAATTTTATCAAGTTTAAAAGAAAGATGAAACCTATTCTTTAAAAGACAACTAAAAGCCGGGCGTTGGTGGCGCACGCCTTTAGTCCCAGCACTCGGGAGGCAGAGGCAGGTGGATCTCTGTGAGTTCGAGGCCAGGCTGGACCGATAGCCTCCAAAACAATACAGAGAGACCCTGTCTCGTAAAAACCAAAAAAAAAAAAAAAAAAAGACAACTAAAACATGACAGTTTGGAAACACCCTCAAAAAAAGTACTTTTTGAAATAAAAATTGCATTCATTCCTATTGTTTAAATATATCCAAAAAATACATTCCGTTAAAAATCTAGTGATCTTATAGTAAATGAATCAGAATCAATGTAATATCTCCAAAAAATGATAATAGTCTTATATATAGGTTCAAATAGTTACAGGCACTAAATCTGTACGATTCCAAACTCATCGAGCTCTTCAACCTTACCTCCAGCCCTCAGAGAATTACCTTTGAATTCTGTTATTACATGAGGCTGTCATTAAAAAACATTACACTATGTTTATTTGTGGCTAGAATATCACTTTTGATAGTTTTCAAAAATTATACTGGGAGGACAAGTACTCCTGTGTATTTCTTAAAATTGGAAGAATTTAGTTGCAAATGGAATTAATCTTTAGAAATTCCTACAAGAAGGGAAATGAATTGCTTCAAAGAAATATTAGCTAATAACAGTTTCCTAACTTTTTACTTCTTCAATGGAAATTATACTTTCTCCTTCAGTAAAAAAGTAAAAACACAAAAACCTAATAACTTTCTATTTTATATTTGATGACAAATTTTTTTTATTTTTTTTTTTAATTTTATTTTCCAGTTTAAATTTGGATAAGAAACAAGGTTGCTTCACAAGTCAGTTCCAGGTCCCTCTCCCATTCCCTCCCTTCCTCCCAAGCCCCCCCCCGTTATCCCCTCATTTCCCCAGGGAGGGTGAGGCCCTCCATGGGGGTGTGCATAGTCTTGATGACAAATTTTTTAATTAATACAAACAGAAGTCATATCCTTAGTGAGTGAAATACATGACAGCATTCTAAAAGTATTTTAAATCATACAATACAAATATATGTGTCTTATCAAATTATTTTTCTTTTTGAAATGTTTACTTTCTTTGTCCCCAGTTAACTGAATACAGACTAGCTAAACACAATTTCTGAAGGAACTCAGGAAACGTTCCCTTCCTGTTGTGTGAGTCTTTGTGTCACCTCCTCTGAAGGACTAGTAACTTTTTAATGAGCCCCTTTTGCTTTCCACCCGCCCCTGCCACCACCACATGAGCACTTAGCTCCTTCTTTTAGCCAGAGACACAAATGGCTAAAACCGGAAGGAAGCCTCTGCACCCTGAGGAGTGGCCACCAAGCAGCACCAGCTGTGGTTCCTAGAAGGCACCATGTTCTACTTAATTTTTTTAAAGTACAAAACAAAACAAACAAAGAAGAAAACCAAACAAAAAATAAAGTCTACCTAGGCCATCTTTTCACCTTTCTTTATTTCGTAACAGAGAAGCATTTAACACATTCATTTTGAAAAGCAGTAAGGAGCTGCCAATGAAGCTGTTGCCAATCAAACTCTGTAATAACCAATGGGAAAATCTTCAACTTTTATGATACACCAAGAGCCTTTAGAAACTCTGTGGTCTGATGAGATAAAACAATCATCTTAGAACAAGGTACTCAGAATAAACACTTTTGCAGCTTCTTTATACAAAGCATTACCAACTTATTCTCAAGAGAAAAGGAATTCTCTTGCTCAAAATTCATACTGTCACTCTTATTTATATCTAAGTCTGGAGTATAAGCATGTGTAGCAGGTTAATAAATAGATAAAATCTATTTCTGAAGTACCATTCTCACTAAATATTTTATAAAGGACTTACTCAGTAATTTTTTTACTATATCTGTTCTTAAAAAATAAAACGATGGGCATTTACCTTTAACCCCCTAAAGACAAAGTCTGAGTGTTCAATTTACCTGACGAGATTCTCATTATCTCCAGTTCCTTTGCAAGTTGCACATTCAGTTCTTAAGTCTTCAGCCTTCGGCTTCTTTTGCAACACAGACTGCCTCTGCCTTCTTTCTCTAGGAACTCTTTCCTGCCAATGGAAAAAAGAAGTAAACTAAACAAAATCTGAGTAGGAGGAAATGGAAATCACTCAAGGCTAGAAAGTTTCCCTCTGATCAGACATTGTAAAGAGAATTTAACTTATTCTAACCTCATGTTTTTCTTCCTCAGGAACAAAGCTTCGCTTTCGTCCTCTGGTTCTCTGGAAAGAAAATCCATAAAAATATTTAAGGTTTAAAACATGCTAAATATACATTTTTTTCTGTTAAGTTTTATGGCTTAAATTATAGTTAGAAAATTGGTGTTTCTAATTAATGTCAGATTGAGATACTGCATATTGGTAAAATTATGTCATTAATTATACTAAGTTTTAAGAAAAATATACAAGCATTTGATAGGAAAAAAATTAATTTTCCTCTAAAGGGTTTTCTTCAACATTGCATACTTCTATCTACAATTTACTCAGAGCATTTACTTTTTCACATCCTATGACAAATCACTTCCACAACTAAAACACTGAAACTGGACTAATATTGTACCTATGCACACATGTTCGTGCAACTAAGGAAAAAAAAGAAAAACAACATAAGTAGTCATTAAAAAGGTGGAAAGCAAAGACCTCATAATCCCCAAATCTCTGTTAAAATAAAACTAAAATAATTTAGTAAAAAAAATTATATCCTGTATTTTGGACTTCATCATTTGAAAGAATGCATCTGTACATTTACAAATAATACAAGACTATTTGCAGCCAGTATGGTTAAACTCTCCATCCTACAGAGCACTGCCTCTGAAGATTTAAAAATCCCCATCTACAGATCACAGCTCAAGAGGAGAGGAGACAAAAGGCATCAGCAAGAGCTTAATGTAAAGCTGATATTTAAAAAAACATTTATTTCAAAGCTAGATAGGTAACAACTCTCAAAATAACTACTTTCTAATATGCATCATTTTTCTAAATGCATCAATGCTGACTTAAACTTCAGTTCTTCAGGATAGCCAGTCCCTTGTTAATTAGTACCAATGCATAAATCTCATACTGTAATTTCCTGACAATAACCAAAATCCAATTAACGTCAGTCAAGACAAGACATGTAGCCATTTATATCTGTACTGCCCACTGGTATCTTTTAATCATTATAGAATAATTTAAGAAGAAAAGATAATATTGTGTCCAGGAAAGAGCTGCAAATGCCAGCCCTACTGAATAAGTTCTTACGTCTAAAGTAAGGCAGTGTGTTGCTCCTCAAACAATTCACCATTGGCCATACACACTAATGTCCCATGGGCACCTGTTTAAAATGTAGTTTGTAGGCTCATTCCAGTATATTGAACTAGAACCTTCCTTTTAACAGCAATATGAAGTTACATATGTTAACTTCAAGGACACTGTGAGAACATATGTTGCTGTGATTGGTTTAATAAACAAGCTGACTGGCCAGTAACTGAACAGGATAGAATTAGGTAGGAAAGCCAAACTGAGAATGATGGGAAGAGGAAGGGCAGAGTCAAATAAATCATCTACCAGATGGAAAACAAGTCTGACACACAAAATGGGATAGAGGTAAAAGTCATGCGCCTCAGACAGCACATAGAGTAATAGAAATGGATTAAGATATAAGAGCTAGGCAGTATCGAGCCTAAGTATCAAGCCAAGATTTATGATTTATATTGTCTCCAAGTCAGTTATTTGGGAAGCAGCAGGCGGTTACTTATCAGCAGGAAAACTCCATTACAAACATTGACGCAAAAGAGCTCTAACTTGGGCTGGAAAAATGGCTCAGATGTTAGGAGCACTGACTGCTTTTCCAGAGGTCCAGAGTTCAATTCCCAGAACCCAAAGGTGGTATCTGTAATGAGATCTGGTGCCCTCTCCTGGTGTGCAAGCATGCATGCAGGCAGAATACTGTATACATAATAAATAAATAAATCTTAAAAAAAAAAGCTCTGTTGACAATGAAGTCCCAAGTCTTTACAGTTTGTGATTACCACCTTCCATGTTTCCCTTCTGCTTTCTACACCAGTTACTATTCATCTCCAAACTTGTAAGGACCATGTTTCAGTCACCTTTCCATACCTAACTAAATGCAATACACTGTTTATTCCATCCCAAGGTTCAGAAATTTTGTTTTAATAAAATAAACTACAAATGGTTCATTTGAAACTAAAACATGATTGCACTATACCATGTAATACAAACATAAGATTTGGTAAAAAGTTTAAACTATTTTTCCCTTTCCTGGTACTCATTTGATTACCATAACTTCCATATATAGGCCATTTCAGTAAGGTTTCAGAATGGTAAAGTATATTAAAAGGAAAATACTCCAATTACACATTAAAATTCCACAAACTTCTGCACAAAATGCTCAAAAGCTTTCACAACCTTTATTTCTGGAGGAGAGGGTAGCCAAGTAACTATAATTCATCTATCTTTGAATGATTTTCTCAGCCATTTAGATCACCTGGCTCCTGGTGTGTCCACAGAATATTTACTTGGAAAAATGTGATAAAACAGACATCAAAATATTAAAATAATCCCAAATACTATGAAATTAATTTTCATTTTTAATCATTTTAAGGCTGTTTTCCTAAACTAACATCCAAAAAATTCATCTAAAAACATTATTCAAAGTCTTAATGCTACAGTCTTAACATTACTAAGTGGCTAATTTGAACTTGTGTAAAACTAGCTAAAACATTAGTGAAACAAAGGCAGACTCTAGGATATGTCATTCTCCCACAATTGGCAACTACCACTGGTGGGGGCAATTAGAACAGTCACACATATAAAAATGCCATAATAAAATCTGTTAATTTGTATGCCAACCTAAAGTTTTTTAAATTAATAAAACAAATGAAAACTACAGACTGTCCCTTGGCTTAATTACTCGCATGTGAAGAGAAGAAAACATTAAATGTGTCAATTCCCCTCATCAAAATAATGATCTAGAAGAAGCAGTGTTCGCTGGAAGACATGTTACAGTCAGGACTGTGAAAATGTACTGTGACTACTATTTTTACTGTGTTAAAAAATACATTTAAACATGCAAACATGTGTGAGTCATGGGCAATAGAAATCACAGGACTTCAAAGCCAGTGAAGCTGATGCGTGTGTGACTGTTAAGACGAGGAAAGGCCAGGTCTCAGGAAGCCCTGGGGCACTCGTGGGAAAGATGAAAAGTCACCAGCCGCACACAGCATAAAGAAATGAGAAACAGAATCAGAAAGCTTTCAAGCTACATTAAAGTTATTAGAAAACATGCCCAAAAGTACAAATACCATTTTTAAAGTGACTTCAAAAGAGACATGAACACTCTCATTTATTTGCTTCAAAAGAAATCTCTGCCCAAAAGGAAGCAGATACTTTCCACACAAAAACGGTGCAGAGAAAATGTCTACGTTATATCCTCAGAAGGAAGGACCCCCAGGATGCCTTTGCAGTAACTCCACAGCATCACCCGTGAAATATAAGCAGCAGAAGAGGAGAATAGGACCAAGTCCCAGAACTGAGTCCATGAGTCCACAGGTATCAAACTAGAAACTACAGCAATTAGTTATGGGAAAAATTAAGGTGAAACGTGAAAATAAATTCACGATATGCAGATCTTTTAAAGTTTCAGCTAAAGTTTAATTAGCAAGACTGTTCTTAAATGTGAGTCATATTTTAATATCATTACTATATTATGTATCCATTTAAAATTGTAAGGAAAAAAGTTAAAACAATTTTAACAAACAGATTTCATGACATTTCAACAAGAATGAAGCTCGAAGTTCAGCACTGGTGAGAAAGGACTGTAAAAGAGCATGTAAGCAAAGCTGCATTCGGTGCTGGCAGGATAATTAGCTGAGTAACTTAACTTGGCTGAGTTACTGTGCAGTTTCATATCAACAAGACAAACCAGTCATCTGGGAAGAAGGAACATCCATGGAAAAATTCTCACCAAATGTGGACAAGACTGGTGCATTTTCTTTACTGATGACTGCTGTGGAGCCTAGAACAGCTAGGCAAGTGCTTGACCAATAAGCTATATTCCCAGCCCTTGTCAACTCATTTAATTAGTTCTCTATCCAATGTACACACATCAAGCAACACTGCTGACCATTTTGTAGGCTATCAGTAAGTAAAAAGATAGTATGTTCTATTATAAAAGAATTTAGTTGCTAGTTGTTTTATTACCTGAACATAAAAAAACTGTTTTTAACCAAATATTCATTAATAGAAGTCATTTAAGTAAATAAACATAGGAAAAAGCTTTGTTGTGTCATAAGTCTTACCCATTAAATTAATAAGCATTAACAAAAACTTAATTGTAATGGTAATAAGGACACCAAAAGAGTGTTAGGAGAATATTGTTTCAATTATTCCTGATAGCGTCCTTTCTAGAACTTCATCATTCACGCACCCTGTTTTCACCTGCATCCTGTGAGTCTGTGTCTTTTTACTAGGGAATTAATGATTGTTGATTCTTGTTATTTTGTTGTAGTAGTAATTGTTGTTGTTGTCGGTGGTAGTGGTGGTGTATGTGTATGAGTTAAATCACATGATTATCTCAAAAAAAATCAGTAGTTCTCCTATTTACAAATGACAAATGAACTGAGAAAGAAATCAAGCAGCAACACCTTTCCCAATGGCCTCAAACAATATAAAATATTTTGAAGTAAATCTAGGCAAGCAACTGAAAGATTTGTATGATTAAAATTTTAAGTCTTTGAAAAGAAATTCAACATGTTATCAGAACATGGAAAGATATCCCATGCTCATGAGTCAGTAGGATTAACATAGCAAACATTATCATCCTACCAAAAGCAATCTATAGATTCAATGCAATCATCATCAAAATCCCTGAACAATTTCCTTACAGACCCAGAAAGGACTATTCTCAACTTCATATGGAAAAACAAAACCCAAGGATAGTAAAAACAATCCTGAACAATAAAAGAACTTCTGGAGGTATCGCCATCCCTTATTTCAACCTGTACTATAGAGCTACAGTAATAAAACCACATGGTAATAACATAAAAACAATTCATCAAATTGAAGAGTCAGACATGAATCCAAATGCATATTGACAACTGATTTTTGATAAAAAGAAGTCAGAAATATACAGTAGAAAAAAAGACTGCATCTTCAACAAATGGTGCTTGTCAAACTAGTTGTCTGCAGGTACAAAAATGCAAACAGAACCATACCTAAAATTCACCCTATACAAAATTCAAGTTCAAGTAGAACAAATAACCTGATTTATATCAGCCAAAAAGCAAAAAGCAGCCAAATGTCCATCAACTGCTCAAGAGACAAATGTAATCTGGTAAATGAATACAAAGGGGGAACTGTATAATAATAAAAAAGGGTGAAGTATGGATACATGTCAAAATATACTGAATAACTCTTGCATATTACATGAAAGAAACTAACCTATAATTTATATAAAATTCCAGACAGAAAACCAACTAGACCAGTGGCTGTACAGTTTCGTGAGACTACAAGAGGGAACAAGGCAGTCACTGCTAAAACATGAATTTTGAAGGGGAGGATGATAAACAGTACCCTAAAATTTACTGTGGTAAATTATGTTTTATGTATCTCTGTGTGAGGGGCACATACATGCCTTTGCACATCAATATGCCAGAGCACATGCATGAAGGTCAGAGGACAATCCATGGTGTTTGGTCCAGTCCTTTCCTTTCGTTCCATCTTATGGTCCCAGGGTGAAATCTAGTCAATTACAAAATAGTCTGCAACTCAGCAAATCTATACAGCTCATTACCATATTGGGGGGGTGTTTTACATAACTAGCTTAATAGATATGTAACTCAACAAATATACTAAAAGCCACTGAATTATATATATTATAGATGAATTAATGGCATGTGAATATTTCATTTGGTCTACTATTTTTAAATCAACCAAAACTGATTTAAACAGTAAATTATTATAAACATTAAAAGTGTGATTTCTCCACATAAAATCCCAAACTTGACAGACTAAATTAAATACTGTTCATGACTACACAGGTTTGAAATACAAAGGAAAAGACTGGGGGAAGAGAAATAGAGCACTGAGGTGAAAGGTGATCTGTTATACATGTGAGCTTGCTGAGGCAGGCACAGGAGCCTAAGGCTTAAGTAATGTCCTGTTTTTAAGTGGAGTGTTAGATACTCGGGTACTCACTATTAAGCTTCTACCTGAACCCACAGACTAGATTCTCAGCTAAATACAATATACTACACAATACTGATTTTATAGAAACAACCAAGAGCAATATGGACAAACATACAATATGAGTTTATGAGTTATAATATGCTTGTGCATGTCAGAATGTCACTGAGACCAATAATGAAGAGTAAATACCGTGTTTCTTATTGGAATCTTCTTGGGCTCTGGTGGCACGTCCTGAGGAACAAATTTCACTGGCTCCTTAATCTGTCTCCTTGATCGTTTGGTTCCATCTGGCAAGGTTTCCATGGCCATGTCTGCTTCCATGTCACTGCTTCCTGCCTGGTCACACTCTGAGCACTGCCTGAAATTTTGTTAAGATAAGGTCATATACTGATTTCCTTATTTATTTCTACAAATAAAAAAAGGATTTGTACACAAATACACACAGGTAGAATGATAATGACAACACACAGAAACACTCTAGGCTTGCCAAAATGAGAACCTTGGCTATATTATAGAAAGCAATTCAGTACATCCACATAAAGAACACACGCAGCAATGCTGTTGTGAACCAACATAACTCAGAGACCACTGACTAAGACGGCCCCTCCCCTGTGGAAAAGATGACTGCTTTACTGTGATATATACTGAGCCATCTTTTATGGATTTTCATTCTTATTTTCCTCTACCATACCTTTTCATTGTATTTAACGACACAGTGTGCTGAATATATATACCATCTGGGGAAAAAAATGAGACCTGTGGAGTATTTGGGAGAGTAGTCATTTTACTTGATAGACCGAGAAAAGCCTTTTCTTAGTCGATGAAGACCTACCAATGTCTATCCTGCCACTTAATTGTGACCATTAAAGCTGGTATGGTGGCACACACCTTTAGTCCTAGCGCTGGGGACAGAGGCAGGCAGATCTCAGGGTGTAAAAAAAGCCACCCTCGTATATAAAGTTCCAGAATAGCTAGGGCTGTTACACAGAGAAAACCCTGTCTCGAAAAACCAAAGAAAACACGCAAACAAAAGCACATCACCACCAGCTGTTAAAAGTAAACTTATATTTTTACATTTTCTTCAAATGTAATTTAAAGAATCAAAAAATAGCTTTCCAAAAGTCTGGTACATATGATATTTACTTTATATGTGTTGACATTTGTACCTTTGAATGTAACTTAAAATTTAAACATCTCTAATCTTTTATCTTATCATTTAATTTACGCTCCATCAAAATTTTTATTTTTGATATATCAATACTACAGATGTACAGTTAAACTTATTTTGACTTTTAAATGAGATCTTTAAATTCTGGATTTTACAGCATAAATACAAATTTACTGATGCAATCATATTAACCACTACAGTGCAAAGTAACCAGTGAGAAAAATAAAGTATTATTCTCTAATGGATTAATTAGAAGATTCTTAAGTATATGTTGCTAGTGCAACTGAAGATATTTTAAACAGTAACAAATGAATAATAAACTAAACTGTTCTTATACTTGTCTCAAATAAAAACATCAGTAACTGATGATGGCAGTACATAAATAATTACCTTATATAATCCCAGAATTTACATGGGGAATATATTCAGAAGAGGAAAACAAAATAATGAAAAACTGTGAAATGCTAAGGTTTTTTTGTTTTGTTTTAAATGAAATCCCACAGGCATTCAAGCAAGCCTATAAACAGTATAAACTTATGTATCAGATGGATCCATTTTTCTGCTTTGTATCTCTAAATTATACAAACCAATAACAAATTGATCATTTTCATCAGCTCAATGAAATGCCAACGTTTCTCGAGCATTCCAATCCACTCACAAGTATACACACAGGCAGTTGCCTGTGCATGTGGAGGGCAGAGGACAACCTGAGTGATCCTCAGGTCTCCTTATTGGCTTGTGGCCTGCTGATTAGGCTACACAGACTGACCAGCAAGCCCTAAAGCTCTAGAGTCTCCACCTGCCGAGGTTGACAAGTGTGCACCATCATCAAGTTTGGCTTACATGGTTTAGGGATATCAAACTCAGGTTATCAGGCTTGTATGGTAAGCATTGTATCAGCTGTGCTTTTCCCCCACCACCCATATTCACTGTAGAAAATAGATAAATCCCCATAATATGGAAACATGTACTTTTTTGTGTAATCAAGTTTTCAGATTAAACATTTGTCAATTTATTTGTTTTTGTAGCTACTACTCATCATTACAACATTCTGTTGTTATCCTCATTCCTAAACCCACCAAAAATTTAAATGACAAGTTAATTTGATCTAGAACATGCCAACAATAAAAATGTTATGCTGTGGAACCCCAAAACATCAAAGAACTCAAATATGAAGAAAATTTTGAAACTGACAATACAGAACATGTATTCCAATTTTAAGGCAGCTGACATGAGTCATGCCATATGCATGGACAGTTTTCACTTTCAACAATATATTAAACACTGTATTCTTCCACCTTCAAACACCTTTTAAGATATCTATATAACACCCGAGTATAAAAGCCACAGCCTATCCAATTCAATAGGATCAAAGTACATTTTCAGGGAAAGTGCCGATTATCCTGGAAATGTCAAAAACATGTACCTGAATTATTTTAGTAATCTATGACACTACTAACACACAAGCTTAATAATCAAACTCATTTAATCACCTATGTACAAACTTAATAAACATTCTATCAAAGATGGGTCCTACATTTTGTAATTCCTATGCAAAAAAAACTTAAAATAATTAAAGTAATCAAAACTATTAGCTGACAATACCCAATTACAGATTCAAAACCCCAACTCCAGACATGATAAGTTTGATTTGTAGGCCAGGGTTGTCCAAGAGACTTCCAATACATCACAGGCTATTACTACTATTGCTATTGCCCACAATTGCTCCCCAGAGATGAAAGTATATCCCTACTGCTGAAGACACCATGCACTTCAGCCACAGGACCCACAGGACCCAGCTGACCTGAAAGCCTCCCAACCTGAGAACTAACTTTCACAGTACAAGAAGGCACCATACAAGCTTCCAGAGGAGGAAAGCAAGGAACAGATCTAACCAGCTATGATGCCTATGAACCACAACAATGACCAACATGGCACAATTAACCTAAAGATACAGTAGTGCCATGCATAACTTGGCAGTAACTAACAATTTTGTAACTGCACTTAAGTCCTGCTCAAAAAGATGAAAATCATGCCTGGTACCTGATTATCCAGGGCTAAAGAAGTCATGGACCATACAAACCACCACTTTAATAAGCCAGCATAATCCCTAACTGTATTTTAAATGTCTGTCCTTACACCCATAGGTAAATATAGTTCTCATACCTCATCAAGAAAGCATCTCTTTGTAACAGTCAAGAGATCATTACAGAAAACCACAACCAATCAAAACGCAAGGTTGTGACATCCAGTCCTTATGGATACATCCACAAAACACTAAGGCTTGTGAATACTGGTAGAAAGGTTGCTAAAGGCAGAGACTCTGCCTCCTAGTACATGCCTTTAATCCCAGCACTTGAAGGGCAAAGACAGGCATGAATTCGAGGCCAGGCTGGTCTACATAGTGAGTTCCAAGACAGCCATGCCATGTCTCACAGAGAACCCTGTCTCAACAAACAAGCAAACAAACAAACAAACAAACAAAAAAGACACAAATCTTCAACTAGTGGCAAAACGTTATTTTTAGGTAAGACAGCAGACTAAAAGATGCCTCCTCGTGACCAGTTAAGGTCATCTGCGCAGCCCTTCAAAAGAAGAGTCATCAGTTCATCAAGTTGTGACCAGTTGCCTGAAAATGCAGAGTAAAAGACTGGAATGCACAGAAAAAAAGTAAAATATACAACTTACAACAGCAAATATTTCTAAGTTACATTTGTGTATACACTGTCTCTGTGTAGGTGAAGGTCAGAGGAATTTAGATACCTTGCGCCTTCCTCCATAACTTTCCACTTCTTTTTTTGTTGTGGCTGTTACAATTTTTTTTCATACAATATATTCCACTCATGATCTCCTCCTCCCCTAGCTCCTCTCAGATCAACTTCATCTTTTTTGAGACAGGTTCCCTTACTGAACCTGGAACTCATAGATCCAGTGAGACTGGGTAGACAGAGAGCTTCTAGGTTCTCATGTTTTTGCCTCCAGGGGCTAGGATTACATACACTCAAAGCCACACAGCGCCCCTTATTCTGGTCCTGGGGATCCAAACACAGGTCCTCACGCAGGTACAACAAGTACTTGAACCTACTGAGCCCCTAAATCAATAACTTTTTGGACAGCCTGTAACTCCAGGATTCAGGGCCCACTCTTTTCTAAAACTAGAAAAAATATGTTTGCATAAAAATAATATTCATACTCATCTCATAGATTTTTCTTGCCTGCATTCCCCTTCCTGAAATACTATGACAATCAGTTTATTAAAATCTGAGCATCTGTCTCTTCCTTGGAATAAACCTAGGATGTTCATTACACAAATTTGGGATGGTTACTGTTGACAGTCAGCTTGCTAGAATCTAGAATCAACTGGGAAACTTTAAGGACAAGCCTGTGGCCTGTGGGGGTATCTGGATTATGTTAAGTGACATAGAAAACCCCATCTTATTGCATGACCATTCCCTAGGCAGGAGATAAAGATCCTTCTACCTTGGCCTGTACCTTGAACTGTGAGCATATATAACCTCCATGAATGTTAAGTTTTAAGTCGGGGTGTTTCATCTCAGAAACAAGAAAATAAACTTTAGTAAAAGTTTCAACATGTGGTTCAACATGACTATGTCAATGAAAAGATAGTAAAAAAGAGTTTATCAGGGCTGGAGAATATTTGCTAAACACAGCAAAGCCTTGGGTTCAATTCATCATATCACACGAACTGAGCATGTTGTGTTACAGGCATAATCCCAGCACTTAGGAAGCAGAAGCAGGATGCTAGGAAATTATTAGTTATCCCAGCTATATAATGACATCAACACAAGACTGGAAGCTGAGATTCTGTCTTAAAAAAAAAATTCAAAATTTCTGGATTTTCAAACAATGGCTGATGAAACTTAAAATTCATTTAACTTCAAAATAAAGAATCTGAGAAAACCAAATCATAAAATGAAAGAAAATTATAAACCCATGAGAAAAACCTCTGGTGCCTTATGTAAGAAAGAATATATTGTGAAGATTAAAAACTTCATTTCTACAAAATTTTATTTTACTCATATAACAGCTAGAAAGACTTACAAATGTTCAATTCAAATGTGTGAAAAATACTTCACTGTGAATTAGTGATACAACAAATCAATTCCAAACATATTCAGTCAATTCCACTCACCAGTAACTGTTTTTGGTCTTTCTCGGCATCCTTGTAAGAGGAGGATCAAGGCACCCGAGATGGTAATGCAGCTTACAGGTGTCACACAGCAAAAGAAGATGTTGATCATGGTTCTTCTTACAGATTCCACAACTTCAATAAAAGCAGCAAATGAGAGTTACACTGATGTCTGCAGCGGAAGAGTTTAGTTATAGCTGCTGAGTTCAATAGCTTTCATGTTGATTATCTTTCTTCTGTTATGGCATTTCTGGTCCTTTGAGACTAAATCTTGCTGTATGGACCAGGCTGGCCCTGATCTCGTGATTCTCTTTGTCTGAGTAACTAAGACAAACAGGTGTGTGCAACAGGACCCTGCAATAACTTATGTTTTTCATAGCATGCATTGTTTTAACAATGCCAGTAACTGTTAGTTCTAAATAATGTTAAAAATAGCTTAGATCTAATATAAGCTTAAAGTTTTCTTTTTCTTTTCTTTTTGTTTTTTTTTTCTTTTTAGTTTTTTGAGACAGGGTTTCTCTGCAGTGTTTTGGAGCCTGTCCTGGAACTCGCTCTGTAGACCAGGCTGGCCTTGAACTCAGAGAGATCCGCATGCCTCTGCCTCCTGAGTGCTGGGATTAAAGGCGTGCACCACCAACACCCGGCCCAAGTATTTTCAACATAGCCTTCTAATTATTACTTAAAATTCATTTAGCATTAGTTTAATTTTTCTTCAGAAACATAAACTATGAAAGAAACATAAATTGTAAAAAATAATATTCCAATGTTGAAAACTACCCTGAAGGTCTAAAGAAATTATTTCACAAACATCTTTGCTTTTTATTATTTACTGCAAACCTTTCATATAGCCTTAGACATATAAATAAGCTACATTTCTATGTGTCTTTTCACAAAAGTCAGATCTTGAATTAAAAAAGAAAAACTAATTGCTGCAGTACAAGCTTTAATAACTTTTCTTATTCTGGTCCTGGGGATGCAAACACAGGTACTCAAATAGGCACAACAAGCACTTCAACCCACTGAGCCATCTCTCTAGGCCCCTAACCCATAACCTTTAAGGACAGACTGCAACTCCAGGATTCAGGTCCTACTCTTTTCTAAAACAAGGAAAATTATGTTTGCATAAAAATAATATTCATACTCATCTCATAGACTTTTCCTGCCTGCATTCCCCTTCCTGAAATACTATGACAATCAGCTTATTAAAATCTGAGCCTCTGTTTTAACAGTGAACATCTCTTGTGGGAAAAGGTAATTTTCCGTCTAAGAAGATAAGCACTATGGCTTGAAAATTTAGCATATATTTCTATTTGGAGTGTACAGAATGAGGGAAAAGTTGTCTGAGAACCTAAAAGAAACAGAACAGATGGAAGCACAATAATGTCAGATATTTTCAATATTCCTGGAAAACACAAATGTAAAGCAGCAGTAATAACAAAAATGAATAGCAATAACAAAAAAGAGACAAAGCAAAATGCTGGATCTTAAAGTTAACAGAAAATCAATTTAAACATATTCTGAACCAAAAAATAATTGTAGTCATAAAACTCCTAAGTCTAGTGCTATGCCTAGTATTTTCAAAAGAACCAACAATGCTTGGGAAAGCAATATGGTGATACACTAATGTTCATACTACAAACTAAAACAATAATGTCCTTTCCCATATTTCATATATACACATGCACACATTCATACATGTGCATGTTATTTTAATATGTATTTATAGTATACACAGCATTTTCTAAACTCTCACTTAATATTAATATATTACATGAAAAGTGATCTCTTATTTAATATAGAAAACATGAGGTCTTTATTTAGATATAGAAAATGAAACTGTCATATAAAATTACTACAATGATCAATAATGTTAAAATACTGATTACAGGAAGTAAAGGAGAAAACTATGTCTGGAAATGAAATTATTATAACTGAATAATGAGAGAAAAAATTACAGACAAATTAAAATATAAAATTTATCATCTTTTCCACTACCATTCATCAAGACCTAAATCAAAAACAAAACTTTACAACTCACTCAAGTAAAATATAATGTTCACTTATTATGGTCATTAATATAATTGATAATTACATAATTGTAAGTAAATTTAAAAGATTAAATTTAACATAACAGGCACATCTTTTAAAGTAATTTTGTAATTTCTTCAGTCTAACATTCTCCCAACTGAGCTATTTCGTCTGGGTATTTTATAATTTCTTAAACAGAATTCTTTGCTTTCATGGAGCCTATGAAAATTTGTTCTCAGTTCCTTAGAGGATACATCACTTATCTTTCAACCTACAAAGCATTATTGATGAAATGAACTTAAAACACACTTAGCTGACATCCTGAAATGGACCATAATTGACTCTCCGACATGTAAAGTACCTTCTGACTAGTACGTATTAGTTGAAAAATAAACAATAGTGCTGCTACAATTTAATTACTTGCCTATAAAGTACCGTAGGAAGAGCAGATGTCTTCTGTGTGCCTCCTTCTTTTTTACTTGGTTTTCTCTCCTTAGGTGCTCGTAAGATTGCCGGTACATTCAACTTCTATTGACATGAATAAACACAGTAGATGCTGTTTTAAAGACAGACAAAGCAACACTTTCCCCTATTTGCTAAATAAGTTATGATTCAGAGAGGCAAGTCTGCTTTACCAGTTATATTAGCAAAGAGAAAGAAAACAAGTTTTTAGTCTCAATTACTTCTATTAAAAAGCTACAATTACACACTCATCTGTTCTCAGAAATATACTCGACACTATGAAAATTAAACTACTTTTGCTTGGAAACCCTAAAAGATGAGGACAGTAGAGAAACCTTAAAATCTAACACAGTATACTTGGGGGGAAAACATCAGTGCCTTCTCTTTGGAACTTCCCAGCTATATTGGTGTTCCATAGGTTAATTAGAAAAATGATCTCATTGGACCAAACCCTGCAAAACAGCGGATGAGATTCTTTGACTCTCTACTATCTGTAGTATGCTGGCTTCTGAGACAGCAACCATCTATCAAAGTCACTTCTTAGTGGCCCAGTGAGGCCACATCTGTTCAATCAACTGGAAAAGCGTCACAAAATGATAAACATGAATTTTATGTCTGTGCATGCACCTTCGCAAGATGCAATTTGCAAACTTCTATGAAGTTATTTAATAATGGAAATATCTTTTATAGTAGATATTATTTTTAAATGTAGAAAAGGTTTTCATGGAGCAAATATAAACCAAGTCAAACAAATGCCACATTGGCAAGTAACCTGTTATACTCCACAAATATTATAATCCTTCAAAAATCTATTAACTATTAATAGGAACAAGAGTTAATATGTCCAAAGACAACTTTTCTTCATTGTCTTTTAAAAGGGTACTATTCTTTGTAGTGCCAGTGACATGCAATCCGTTTACAAAAGAAGTTTCCTCAAAGCCAAGAGGGTATTGTACAAATCACTTCTTTATGTCCATATAGATTATATCAGGAAGTGGATTTTCACAAATGTCTAAAATGTATATACAGTTAAAAATCCTACAAACTACTTTTACAGAGAAAGAACCACAAACAGTTGGTCTCCACCACCTATCCTTAAAACTGAAATTATCTGGGAAAAAAATCTTATTTATTACATACAGCATTAAAGGACATCCAAAAAAACTCCATTTTACAATGTTTTTCTTTTTAGTATGAAGCACACCAACAGGCTACAATTGCTCAAGGATAAACAGTCTTTGTTTTGCTTGTGCTATAACTACAATCGGTAGTTACCAGTGTATGCAAAACAGAATACCTTAACATCTAAGTTTCAAAAACTGCATCTCTTGTGCAGCTGAAAAACCAAATTAACATGAAAATCAAAAGCTCTAGTTTGAATTTTTAATTTTAAATACAAATAAACCAAAAGAAATGAGTAGGACATAAGAATGGAAAATAAAATATTGTGGCAGAGTCTAAAACCACTGAATAAAGAATATACTAGAAGAACTCATGCTTCATATCTTAGCTCATCAGAAATGACAGGCCAATCAATTTGGGCAAATGAAAAAGATGCCAACAAGATAGCTGAAGAAAGAATGGAATTAAGCTACAGGTTCTCAGGAGGCAGTGGCTGCAAGTAGTCTGGAAGTATTTCAGAAAGAAATAATTACACCAGGGGATTAGACTCTGATCGAATAGAATTATTTAGTTAGCAAAGTGGCTGTTGTATGAGAAATAAGTACTTTGATAAATTACATGGAGAGCAAGAATTGAAGAAAGCAAGGGAAAAGAAACTAACCTGCCCTGTAATTCGGCCAAGTAAGGCCCATATTCCTTGCCCTTCACTCCGAAGTTTCCCATTCAGATTTTGCAGTTCTTCTAAAGATTCACAGAGCTACAAAAAGAGTAAGTCAAATTAGTAAGCTTATATGTATAAATATAAGTAAATATCTATTTGTTTTCCATATATTGTAATATATTCAAGTCAGATTACTACTAAAAGACAAAGATATATTGTTATCATTTAGCATGGTGAACATGCTGAGGAGAAGGTAAATATTTTCTTTTATTCTAGTGTTTTGAGTAACAATGGTAGTTTTATATATTTCATTACAGTATGGCACATAACATGACATATATTTTGCTCTGTCTTTATCACATCACATTTCCATAACTCTTCTCATGAGAAAACTAAGAATCACAGAAGTTCATTTGGCTAAGATCATAATAACTACCAAAAATTTCCAGATCTTCTTGCTTTATTTATTCCCCATAATCTTTGGGGATTATTAGATGTTACTTCCTACTAATTTCAACTCTTTAAATGTTTTTGGAAGAATAGTTAGATACAAGTTTAAATATTCATGCTACGTAGAACCTAACAATTCAGCAATATCTTGCTTTATGTATTAGACAGAAAGATAAATTAAAATTTTAAATTGGAAAATATTTATATCAAAAATACCATTTAATTTAAGAAAGACTGGGTTTTCCAGTTTAAAAAAAAGAAGATCTATAATGCAGTGTAGGGTTAAGATTAAGGATTGAGGGTGGCTGTGTTAAGTTTCAAACACCAACTCCAAGACTTGCTAACTATGTGGCCAGGTACAAATTATGTTAACTCTTCAGACCTCAGTCCTAACCCCTAAGAACAGGAGCAGTAATCATAACTTACAGTAAAGACAGGAGAGAACTAAATGACTTACTATGTGTAAAGAGATCAGAATTGAGCGTGGCCTAAGAAAGTGCTCAGTAAAAGAGTGATGGTAATGAAAACGATGATGGAGTTTGAAAAGAGCCTAAGAGCTACAGAATTTCAAACTGAAACATAGAAATGCAATAATATCACAAAAGAACTATAAATTCAATCTACTAAATACTGTGTATTTGCAGCCAACGTACCTTATTATATTCTACATGAAGCTTTTCTTGCTCATTCTCTAATTTATCCTTTATATTCTTTTGTTCAGCCATATTTTCCTGAATTTGAATCATGCGCATATTTCTCTCTATTCAAATCAAATATCCAATTTTACTTCAGTAGAAAGTAAAAGCTAATATAAAACATACACAAAGAATCAAGCAAGCCATATAAGATGGTCATTTGAATAAATCGACATTGTTCAAACAATTTTAAGTATATTCAAAGCAAAACAAAACATGAGCCTAGAATTTACAAAAGACTACAACTTAGGAAAATAAACATGCCTCTGACATACAACACAGGAATGATTTTCTAAAGCATTAATAGTGTATTGAATTCTGTCATTAGTAAATTATTCTCAGGTAGACTGTGCATATATCAGTTTCTATACTGACCAAAATAGTAATTCACAAAATCTGCAGTGAGAGCTGGCTGCTTATGTTTCCTCCTTCCATCCACACTAGAACTAGTATCTGAATTGTCCACTGGAAAGATATCTGTACTGATCCCCATTAGTTCTGCTTTGCGCATCAGTTTACGAATGGCCGAAGCACTACTTGTTAGTGGCCTGGGCAACTTTTCCCTTGGAACCCAGGCTTGCGGTCTGGTAGATCGAGCCAGCTCTGCCTTGGCACGATATTGCTGTAGTCGGGCATTGATCCTTGCCTGTAAAGAAATGCAGAAAGTTTGAAAGAAAAAAATGGAATATAGTCCTCACAACGTTTACATTTATGCTTAGAGAAGGTAATAATACTAAAAATCTTACAATTAAGGCAAACCAGATTTATCAGTGGTCTTGAAGATGTACCATGTAATTCTGAAGTTATAATAAATGGATCCACATCTCATAATGGCTGCCCTCAGATGGAGTTCTAGAGCTAAAGTTGAAGTGGACATGTGCCCCCATCCCTAATCCTGAAACAATCTCCCACTGATAACCACTTGCAACTGCAAACTGAGTTTCCTCCAAGGGAGTGTCACTAGGGAAACAAACTACTCTTAAGGGTAGGTTGCATGCCCAGCAGTAGATGGCCAACAGAAAATGGACTCAAAGACATCTTTAGAGGTTCCTTGTCTTATAATATCAAGTCAGACCATTTCCTTTTTTAAAGTTTTTTTACTGTTTTTTCATTTCAATTTTATTTATATATATATATATACACATACATAGTGTGACTTCTAATTAAGTTTCTATAAGATTTCTGTATGTGGTCTGTCTCTTATACCTTCTTTTGGGTTCTTTTCCTTCTGTTTGTTTTGCAGTGTGTTAGCTTTTGCTTTATCTTTATTCCATTACATTTTATTATTATTCTTTAGAAGCCTGTCTTTTTTTAAAAAGAAATAGTTTTTCTTTTATTGAAAATAGATTCTTTTATCCTGATTACAGTTTCCCCTTCCTTCACTCTTCCCAGTTTCTTCCCACCTCCTCTCCCTTCCAGAATGACTCACTTTTTACCTCTCACTAGAAAGAACAGAGATAACTAAGAGATAACAACCAAACACATCAAAATAAAATATAATAAGATGAAGCAAAACTTTCATATCAAAGTTGGACATGACAACCCAGCAGGAGAATAAAAGAGTCCCAAGAGTAGACAAAAGAGTCAGAGACTCACTCATTCTTATGGTCAGGAATCCCATAAAATATTGAGCTAAAAGCTATACTATAGGTGCAAAGGACATGTTGTAGATACATGCAGACCCTGTGCTTGCTACTTCAGTCTCTCTGAGCTCATGTATGCCTTGTTTAGGTGATTTAAAAGGCCCAGCTCTTCTGGTACCCTCCATCCTCTCTGATCTTACAATATTTTTGCCTCCTCTTTTGCAGGATTCCCTGAGCTCTGAAAGGAGATCTATAATTTAGACCCTCTCTCTGCATAATTTCTTCAACCAAATTTTTCAACATGGAAATAATACTTTACAAATTTAACTACCCCATAGACATGATGAACAAGTACAATATTTTAAGAAACAAACTGTACTCATGTTTAATCACAAACCACTATTTAATTAAGTAAAATTTTAAATTATATTTTATAAGTTAGATGTTTATGTCAATCACATGACAACAGAAAACATACATGAGATCTGAAAAGAAAACAGTAAGTTTTGGTGTGATTCTCATACCTGTGCTTCAGGGGACAGCTGTTTTTCTCTCTCTTGAAGAGACATTTTACAATAGGATTGTAGAGCCAAGTAGTTTTTTCTTTTCCATTTTCTGTCTAACCTATCTGCATGTTGCTTACAATAAGCAAAAAATGGATCTGCTATGTCCTAAAGAAAAAAAAAAAAGGAAGAAAAAGTAAGAAAGTTTTACTCCAATGGATCATTTTAAGAACAAACCATCACCCAATCAAATAGTGATACTTCTTTTTTGGCACATCTCCTGATGGTTTGTTAAAAAACGGAGGAAGTAAGCCTCAATTAAGAAATGCTGAGAGCAGGAGAAGGTCCCCAAAACTGGTTACCAAATACCAATTACTCAGCCCTGAAATTATACACATAAAAATAAGCTTATCCTGACTGAGGAGAGCAGGTTGTATTTACATATTTAGTAACACGTAACACGTAACACACACACACACACACACACACACACACATACACACACCACCAATTAAAAGAAATAATAGCTGTGAATTTCAAAATAACAATATAATCTCGATTTTAAAAAACAAAATTAACAAGTGTTTATCCTATACACACTTAACCTAAAGAGGTTATTTACTTATTAAATTATCCAAAGTATGTTCTATGCATGTGCACATGTGTTTGTGTATGGAAGCTTCCTCTGCCTTTTTGTTGTTGTTGTTAATAGAAGATTTTTCTTAGGTTATAAATTTCAACAATTCGGCAAGGCTAGCTGGCTAGCAAGCTCCAAGGAGCCTCCTGTCTCCTTTCAGTCAGTGTTGGGATTAGAGGCAGGTATCACCACACCCACCTGTTTTAAGAGTACTGGAGATTTAAACTCAAGTTCTCATGCTTTTCTGGCAAACTCTTTAAAATTGAGCCATCTCCCAAGCACTAAGCTAATCTTAATTAATACTTACCTACTAATTTCAAAAGTTAACTAAGAAATGACTCTGTATCCTTAAAGGGTAAAAAAAAATGGAATGAGGGGGAAAAGATATATATCAAGTCAGATATATAAGACATATATAAAAATTCCTTAGGGTTCTGTGTATATAACCATTTTAGAGCTATTTTTAAAAACAGACACTGTTATAAGTCACACTGAAACATTTTTTCAATCAAGAGCACTGTTTTACTTACACAGCAAGTTAAAGATATATTAGTGTTTAGAACTTAAACAGGTGATCCATTTAATATAATTATTAATTATCAAAAATAAATGAGTACTACTGTGATTTCTTAAATTCAGCACTCTAAAACTGAGGCCCAGGGATCATGTCTGAGAAGTGAAAAGGCCTATCCTGAAGCATCCAACGGAAAACTGGGACAGGTGACATTCCATTCTGGCTTTTTAATTTCTTTATTCTCAATACCTACCTACTCTTCATTTTTAACTCTTAATGCTTACTAAACACTTGCCATTTAGCATAAGCACATGGGTCTGACACAATAATGAATGGAGTCAACTGCATTTCTTAGGCTAGTTGTGTCAAAAGGTGTTAGCTGCTGACCTTGGGTTCTTTGTACTATTTCCATTGACAAAAACTGAAAGATTTCACTTCCCCAGCTTTCTTGATGGTAACACTGCCTTCATTCTGGTACATAACATGGTCAAAGCTATTCACACTTAACTGTGGGCGAGAAACTTTCATTCCTGGTGAGAGAATCGCTTTGTTTGCTTGCTTGCTTTAAATGCTACCATAGGAATAGAAAGCTTAGAGCTAGTTCAGTCATGTTAAGAACACAAAGCAAGAAGGTTAAAAACAACAACAAAAACATAAAAGAGTAAACAGGGAAGAAAAGAAGGGAAGATGGAAGTAAGAACAAAGGAAAGAGAAAAAGATATTAGTAGAAGAAAAGGAAAAATAAGTTTATGTGGCTAAATCAACTGATGAACTGCTTAGACTTCATATCTTCTGAAAGTTGGTTTAATATTTAGGCCACAGTAATTAAGTATCCTATTAGATGACTGAAAACCTAAGAGGCATACAACATCTGGAAAAAGATTAGTAAGAAAAGTGTATGTCATAAAGTCAGAGACATATTGGTAGGGATACACTACAGATGTCACAAGGAAATATACAGAAAGTAACCAGGCAAATATGTTATTCATTATATGCATATAATATAAATAAGACCTCTTAATAAGCAACTGTACAGCTTCATTAAGCGGAGAGACCCACTAGAATCCTCAGTTAACTTAAAGACCAAAGATCAATAAAGAGAAAAAGGTCTTGTCAGAGTTTCCCTTCTAAAGGTAGAAATTTGTACAAATGAGGCTCCTATAACTTGTTGTAAGGGGCAGAATTAAGATATAAACATTATTTCAAATGTTCTCATAATTTGCTTATTCACTTAGAAACTTGGTTCTCCCTACAAGTCTTCCTTTTGGTTTCCATTACATTGGTAACGGTAGCTTTTTTTGAGCATCTCACTTTTTGAGGACTCCAATATAGTAAGGATAGAAGAAACAGACTGCCTTTTCTCTAGTTAATCTAACTACTGTTGGTTTAAGTCACAGGCCTCTGAATAAAACCAAGAAGGTAGAGGATGTTTTCTTCTCTAATTAACTAGAAACTGAAAGAATACTATGCAATATACTGGAAATGGATAAACCACATCACCAGTCAGCATATAAAGCACTGGCTAACAAAGTCTGGCTGAGAATCAATACTAAATATACTGGGAATGCCCTTTATGTAGCAAACTACACGATGAGCCAAACATAGCCATGCCTGTTTCTGGAAAGTTTTGCAGGCATGTAGCCACAAAATTAATTTTAAATACTGTCTAAGGCTGTTCTCATACTACAATAGCAAATTACATATGAGCCATAGGCCTACAAAAGACTAAAATATTTACAGAATGCAAATATATATTTTATAAAGAATTTCATATAAAGTCCTACAAAGAAAGCCTCTGCCGGCCTATGCTCTTAGAAAGAACAAGAAAAAGAGGAGTAAGAATCAGTAAATCAGACAAAAAGAGTAAGATTGAGTAGGGAGCATCTGTGAAGTTAATAAAAGTGGACCTGTTCTGAAAATACTGCTAAGAGAGTAAGTGGGGAAAGCAAACAGTAAGCCAAGTAGCCTGACGGAAAGTTAATTCAGAACAATTTTCAAAATGAACTACAAATTACCAACTGCTTCACATGATCACATAAAAGTCACTAAAACTCTAGCAATGTGTATCCTTATGAATACATTCAAAATCATTTAACCTAGCAACAACTGATTGCAAATGATCCTGGTTCTTCTAGCAACGCTGAGGCATCAGTTCGGCAGCCAAAATTCTAACCTGAGCTCTTGAAATGTAATCTTGGAATGATTTTAATTCATTGTATCAAAGGTTTTATGAAAATCTATAAAATAAAGCCCCGTGTCAGGAATGGGTTACTGCTTTGGGCCAGTGAGGGTCCAAAGACTTCCAAATATTAAAGCTCTTGCCACTGCTATTGGTTATCCTCCAAAACTTACAGTAAGACTATCTATAGTTAAAGGCAAAGGACCATGAAGTCATAGAACATAGACAAATCTAGCTGATATTGACTTAGAAGCTTCATAAAGTATTATGCTCCCTACCAGAGGGGGAAAAAGTAATCATGAATCCTATCCAACAAAGAATCCATTGAGCTCTAACAACTGGCCATCAGGATATTCTTTCTGATACAATTGTGGAATGAATCCAAGGGAATAACCAATCATTATCTAATTGCATTTAAGGTCCACCCCATAAGACAGAACGCATACCTAACCAAGAATCTATGGTTAGATAGGTTGTAGACTGTAGGGAACAATCTACTATTAGCTCTGCTCAAGGGACATAATATTAACCTACTCCTAATGACTTCCCTTTGGACCCATAGATTAGTACATCTTTTCCAACCTCATCAGAGAAGCTTCTTTTTCCAATAGCTAAGGATTAACACAGAGCCCCACAACTGGCCAAGGAACAGAGAATAAGACCCTGAATATTTATTCAGTTCTATATTGAACACCTGAGGCACGTCCCTTCCTCCGAAAGTTCAGGATCCATTACACAGAAGGGGGGGCAGAAAGACTGTAAACACCAGAGTCAGTCCATGTATTTCCCAGGCAGAACAGAGTAGTTATACTCAGAAACTCCAACAGTGACAGAATGCACATGCCTCTGGCAAGCTTAAGCCAGACAAAATTCCAGCATCTACAGAAGAGTTACTCTCAACCCATGCTGAGGCAGTAATAGTAACTGATAGCAACTGGGAGAAGAGTTAGTTTTCCTTACAGGGATGTGCTCCAGTAGATTACACCCACCAAAGAGTATATAACCATTGGTATTGGGCTAGAGTTGCAAGAAAAGGGAGGCAATATGATCAGAATACAATGTATGAAATTCTCAAAAAATTAATAACTAAGTAAAAATCAAAAGAAGCTATGTTATACCGTTTTACAAACTGTTTTCTAAATATTATAACATTGTTTTAACACTCACAAAATCATACTTTAACCAAAGAAGAAATTTCTATAACTTTAGTTGAACAATAAGTTTAAGACATAATATGAAACATAAATTAATGTGTTGTAGGTGCTTTTCTAACATCTTAAAAAATGCATGCTTTCTTTAAAACAAGACAATGTGAGTAGTCTTGCAATTTGGAATAGCTTACCAAGTACATGAAAAAGCATACAGACTCCTAATGGATCTTCACAAATGTGAAAAGCAATTTACACAAAGGCTATAAAAACTTTTCACTGGATGAAACTAAGGTGCTTAATTCTATTTTTCAGGCTTTCTTTTACTATCCACAAAATAGCTCTGGAAAGTATGACATCCTACTTGATAAACAGGTTTAAACAAGAAAATAAAAGCTAAAGAGAACATAAAACTGAAGCAGAAGACAAGATTTCCTTTTTAACAATAGACCTTCTTTAATTTAAAATGTTTCTTAATTTAAAAAATGCTAAGTGGGAGTGGCCACACATGCCCATACTTTTAGCACTCAGAGATGTGAACAGAAGAATCACTGAGGCTACCATGGACTACACAATGAGACCCAATCTCAGGGGTTAAGGGATCTTATATGTATCCAATGTATACATGTACAACCATTACAAATACCTCCATTTTAACAAAATAAATACTGTCAAAAGCAAATCTCACTGGCATCCTAACCATTCACACAGTTTTGAAACTCTGAAAGGAATCTTTTACAAATTTCCAGTTCTCACTGGCTGCAATGGCACATATTTGTAGTCACAGCAGTGAGGAGGCTGAGACAGAGGATAATGAATGTGAGACTAGCCTGGGCTGTGCAGTGAATTCACATCAGCTGGAATACTTGGGAAGATCTTAAAGCAAAGACCCACAAAAGTTCTAATTCTCCTAAGTGTTCACAGCAACAAACTAGAGACCTATGGAAATATGCTTTAATAAGAATATCAAATAAATTTTTTTTAAAAACCCTCCTACACTGAGAAAGGCAACATCAGGCAATCAGGCAATCAACCCAGTGAATAAAAGAAAGAAACAAGGCAGGAAGAGGCCTTAGGACCAAGTTTGTCAACTTTATTATTTCAGTTCTTAGACACAGCAACTGCAAACTATTGACTATGTTTGGTTTTGTATTAATCTGCATGCCTTCTGGTAGGGAGAAGCAATCTCCAAATCATTATACATCCCAATGTTTTATACATTTTTTGCTTACTACTTAACTAAAGAGTCTTTGTCTTCTCCAAAAAGGATCAAGTATAGTGCTGTGTATGCAAAGGATCCCAAACAATCATGCTGACTATGAAATTCAGTTACCCAGAAGTAGACACCTGAGCTGAACTTACAGAATCCCCATTTTCACCTGTGACCTATGCAGTCCTCTTAGTCCTACAGCATTGCTGTTCTGCACCTCTGCCGTCATCCAGTACCAGTCATGACTAATCCACACAACGAGATGCTGCAGTTACACGTCTGCGTCTGCCCAGCAGCTGTGAAAATGCTCAGTGCTCATCCAACACTCATTCAAAGCACATTTCCTCAGAATCAGACACACATCAAAATAACTATCATACTTAAGATCTACTTAAGTTACGATGAAATACATCCTTCAAGTGTTTTTCTTTTCATTAGATTACTAATTTCCTAGTTAAAAGTATAATGAACATGTTTTAAGAAAATAAAATGTCATATTAAATAAACAAAATAGCTCACATATCATAATAAAGCATCACGAAGGTGCAGTGAACATTTACTGAATTATCGCTCTGCACAAATTGCTTGATTAATTATACCTGCTCTTAGGATTCCATAAAATTCTTTAAATTTATTATAAATGCCAAAGAATTTATGAGTTATCCTTTTAGAAATTTATTACATGAATTAAAACTATGAATACTCTTAAACACTAATTAACTTATCTTAAACCTACTAAGCAAATATATTTTTAATCAAGATAACTAGCAAGGCATTGTACAAGAAATTTTAGTAGGAAGGGCTGTAGCTTATATTTTTGCAACTCTAATATTACCTTCATAACATAAAAGCAGAATTCTCAAGACTATTTCCATATGCAAGGTTATGTTGTTGTGTGCAATCTCTAGAAACTTCCAAAGTTTGGAATTTAGGAATACTATTTAACTTTATATTGTTAAAGAAAATAATTTGAAGCACAGGACCCTAGAAACAATTTTAAGGAATCCCAAAAAATGTACTTTGTAATCACATTACTTAATCTAAAGTCAGTAAGTCTGGAAGAAATACTAGAGAGCTAAAACTAAAGCCAAAGAGAGTAAGTTACCTTAAGAAAATGTCATATTCCTGTATAAAATATGCCACATGTCAGTTCCTTAAGATACCTTGCATTTGTCTTACCCGTCAGAATTCACTACAAAAATTTCAATATGCTTTCCAGTATGCTGTAACTAATTTTAATGACAAAAATTCACAGTCATTTACTATTCAGTGTTTAAATCTGTGGTCTGGTCAAAGACTTAAGAATAGATTATGAAGTTTCCCTTAAGCTTTACAATTGCTAAACGGCATAGCAGGTATGATAAGTCTTCTGAACACGGTTAGCAACTAGGGGGTAGATAAACGTACCTCTTCTGCTGCCGCCTCTGAAAGCAGGCCTTCCTTCTGGGCACAAGTAACATGAAAATAGGCTCTGCACATCCCTGCATCACAGCTAATGCAAACTCCAGTTCTAGCAAAGCGAGGGTCTTCACAAAAGCTACACTCCTAAGAAAGTAACAGGAAAACTCTCACAGCAAAAGTATTTCTGAGGCAAAAACTAGCCTGTCATAAAGCATCCACTAAATATTATCAATACAAAACATTGAAGGCAAAGAAGGTCTTCTGATGAAAAAAGAAAATTCTTTATATAGTTCTAATCAACCAAAATTAAACTGATATACTAGTAAGAAGAGATAATTGTATAAGAGTATTTGGGTGCTAGGCACTTAGTCTTCTAAGTACTTTACACATACTAATATATAAAAATTAATATAGAAATTTGGCAATTTTTTCTTGCTACATTAAAAAAGTTGAAGTGGTAATGGGCTGACATGTGATCAAAATAAACTGAAGAGTGGTTTTTATATTCTTTTTCTTAAGTTTAATAAAATGCATTTCTAAATTAAAGTAAAATATATTTGATCCAATTGAGTGTAACAAGGTATTTTCTGGGTCCCAGAGAACAGAAACAATATCACCTAATACACTTTTTTACAACTTAGCTTATCTAAAGTTACACTATATAGAAGAATCAATAAATTAGCCTTCTGGGAAAACAACTATCAAAACGATTCAAGCATGGTGACACATACCTGATCCTTGAACTAAGGAGGAAGAGGCAGGCTGACTACCTCATGTTTGAGGCTCACTAGATCTAAAGTGAGATATTATTTCAAAAATACAAAAGCAAAGCAAAATGAACTACTAATATACTAATAAATGGCTTAATGATAAGAGTTCCTCAAGCAGTATGCTTGCTAGTAAACACCTCTGTAGTCAATCGTAATTATTAAAAAGCTACATAAAGAAACAAATGAAATTTTCTTACAGTTAATCATGCATGAGTTTATCTTACCTTGGCACCATATTTAGAATAGTTCATTTCTGTCAGTGTTACTGGTCGTAACTTATCAATATCTCCAAAGGCTACTCCAGGAACATATAGGGCACAAACGATGTGGACCCATCTGTAAAAGACACAACCCTGTTATCAAACACTTTCCTGAAATTCTCTCATAAAAAAAAAAAAACGAACATAGAATCCGTTGCATCTTAAAATATTACTGAAAGCACTCTATGACCAGATGGTTCTTTAAAAAATCTCCATCTCAGACTCTTAACTGAAAATTACAGAACACCTACGAACTGATAACAGATGATTCATCACTGAAAACATGACTGCAGCGAGCATCTCTTTTCTAGAAGTCTAGTCAAAATGTAGCTTCAGCAACCATAATTGCTTTTCGCTTAAAATTCACTGCACTTTGCTCTTATCTGTTATTCTTAAATATTTGCGTAAGACTGCTATTCAAGGATAATAAAACATTGCTTTCATATTCAAGGAAAAAGATTCACATCCATTATTGTGAGCACTTTTAGAATTAAGGATTCTAATTTAAGAACTATGTAGTAATTAGGCTCATTGTTCTTTATTGCTACCTTTCCCCTAAAGCTGTTGGATATATTTTAAAACAGTTTTGGTAAAGGTTTACCTTTCTTCTCGGTATAAAGATGGTGGCTGGGAGAAGGTACAAAGCAAAGTTATAATAATGCAAAGATGTCATGTTCCCTATTTAACCTACGAACTGAAATTTACAAACACCACCTACAACTACATTGTGTAAATTCTGCACAAAGCTGTTAATACTTTTTTTTTTTAATGGTCAGCTTCAGCACACTGAAAAAGAAAAATGAGCTGGTTCTGAATTCTTTAAACTGCTCTGAGCTATTAATTTATTATGTATCTATTTGCTTGCAGCCAAACAATATGTTGACTAGCTGTCTGAAATTTAAATAGCAGACATGCATCGCTTATATAAGAAAAAGGATAAAAAGAAGAAGGCAAGTCTCTATGAACTTTGTGAATTTATTGACAAAGTTTGCTTTATTGCAGCTTAAAGGGTTCTGGTTTTGTGATGTACTGGGTTTTAAAAGACTAAGAATCATTCTATAGAGGTATTGAGGAAGGCAGTTATAAATCTTTAAAATTTTCATCATTTCTTTGTGAAAAAGAATCCAGGATTCTGAGATTTTCTAGATAAAATATTTTAACCCAACCTCCCAAATGCATCGTGCAGAGTTCAACATAAGATAGCATCTCGACGAGCAGCCACTTTCTCAATTTAATCTGTGTGGTTTCTTCATGCTCTACTAATGTATCAAATGTGGCCGTTCTCTACAGAAGTTTGTCTTTGATAAACCCAACATCTGGCTGCTTGTTTTGTACTGACCTTCTTAACATTCATCAGAATAAGTCACACAAGTAGTGAAGATTTCTGTGTGACTGGCACACAAATATATCATTTTTTCCAGTCACACATATGAGGACACCAGCATGAGTCCTTATTAAAATATGTATCAAAGTCACTGAAAATCACCACTAAGACGATTTTAGTTCTTTGAGCACTTTTTTGTTCATTTTAGAATTTACGTAATTACATTGGGATATCAAAAGAAAACCTTGTTACTTTAGCACCCATTTTGCTTTGGAGCTATGATGACAGATGTTGATTGGAAAAGGAGCAGAAAACAGGTATCACAAAACCACCAAAAGACAGAGGCATACTGCCATTCTAGAGTGGAAACTATCAATGCATTCAATTACATCCATACATTGCTTATAGGCAGGCAACAACCAAATCCTGAAAATCCTCCTATCTCCAATAGAAATTATACTAATGAAATGATTTTGAAGTACTTTTCTCTGTGTAGTACCTTTACCATATATTTAAAACATAGTTTTAAAATGTCTACCGCATGTTACTTCCATTCCTCCATCGCAGAACCAATGACTAAGTAAGTTCCTCCTAGGTACAGATCATTACATAGATAATGTGGGATTGAGAAGTTTGTGAGGTGCTTAAGTGTTCTTCACTCAAGGAACATTCACTACAAGAAAAATGAAAAGCTCTGAATGTTTCCTATGAGTGGCAAATTGTTCTTCTCATTGTGCAAAGCATGCTTTCAGAGGGTTGATGGTTTCAAATATAGTAAGTCTAGTAGAAGAAAGCAGTGAGGCTTAAGAAATCTAATGCTCTCGCCAGGCGTTGGTGGCGCACGACTTTAATCCCAGCACTCGGGAGGCAGAGGCAGGCGGATCTCTGTGAGTTCGAGACCAGCCTGGTCTACAAGAGCTAGTTCCAGGACAGCCTCCAAAGCCGCAGAGAAACCCTGTCTCAAAAAAAACCACAAAAAAAAAAAAAAGAAAAAGAAAAAAGAAAAGAAATCTAATGCTCTCTTACTCCTAATGCTTACTGAAGAGAAAGAAAAAAGGACCAAGGATCAGAGCCTCATTGCATTCCAAATACGCATGAGGACAGCCTACAAAGGCTGCAAAGAAGGAAGACAGAGGCTGCTCTTCCTTTCACAATGGCCACTCATTCTCTCCTTAGGGCATATGCCTTTCTTTGCTTTGTTAAATAAGCTTCTGTTTAAACTGGAAGCAGGGGGGGAAAAAAAGGATAGAATATAGAAACATTTCATACTTCACAAAATTAGTTCTGTGATTACTCAGAGCAAAATCTTCTGTTTAAGAAATGAAATAAAAATTAGAATATTTTTTCAAGAATTCCACAGCTGTTTTCTCACATTAAATCATTTTCCATGTAGGAATTATGGCTCACATCAGTAGAGGAGAAAGTCTAGTTAAACCCATGTGGTGAATCAATTTCAAATTCTTTTTTAGCCTGTCCCTAAACTACTCTTGCTTTTCCCCTGCATCCCACATGAAGATAAGAATACTAAAAGACTTGTCCTATTTTTAAGGCCTTTTCTTTTTCTTAGTCTTAAGTCAAACTGTCATTACACGCTACAAAATACATAAATGCCCAAAGTTTCTACCCTGGCCACTGTGGGAATATGGACATGAAAAAACCAAGTGTTGAAACAGTCCATTGCAGAACTGCACCTCTCAGACTGCTCATGGAGTACCTAACTGTTGGGGAAGTCTTATGTCAATAAAGCACTATTGAGCCTATAGGGAACCAAGATAGGCGGGACTAGGAGTCCAGGAGAACTCTGGGAAGGAGAAACACAAGGAAGTCAAGATGTAATGCCATGGGGGTAGGAAGCCTGGAACTATTCTCCGGTAAGAGAAATACTTAGATTAACAATTATGGGGTAATTACTTAAGTCAGAGCTAGCCAGTAAGAAACAAGCAAGGCCAACAGCTTCATAATTAATATAGCCTCCTGTGTGTTTATTTAGGACTGATGCAGCTCTAGAACCAGGCTGGCGGGGAAGGCTTCTCACAAGGAAAAAGCTTCTCTTAACACCTAACTATATACGTAATGTGCACAGGAGCTAATGTAAGTATTTTCTAGTAAAAACCCAAATGCATAATGTGTTTTCTTTTGTCTTCCTTTGGAAAACATTACACATTACTTTGCAGAGTATGACAGTACAAAAAGAATTTGTCAATACTACTTTTAAATTAACAGGAAAACCAAGTAAAACAAGTTCCTTCCTCAAAAGGAAGCTGGGTTGTTTGGTTTTTTGTTTTGTTTTGTTTTTTTCGGTTTTGGTTTTTTGTTTTGTTTTCTTCTTTTTTCAAAATGGTCTTAGTTCACCAAGACTGACTATACTCCAAGTTTCAATATTCAAGATTACCAAATGGCAGGTATACAGCAGCAGCTGCTCAGAAGAAAGTACTCATAGCAGCAGCACTGACACTGAATAATAAGTGGACATTTATTGTCCACCAACTATGTCAGGACAGTCTCACATGAGTTGTGTCAGTTAAGCTTCTCAACAGTACTACTAAAACTAAGGCTTAATAACAAGGCTAAGGAACTCACCTAAAGTCACAGTAGAATAAAAACAAAACAAAACAAACAAAATGAATCTAAATAAGGGCAAAATGCTTTGAAAGCACACATTTATCAATGTTTAGGCCATAGTCCAAAAATGCCATGTATACAATATGAACAAGTTCTAGTCCATATAGCAAAGCACTTCATTTCTTAGGTAAAGAGGAATCTGGATCTTCAGCACACAGGGTCACCTAAGACCCCACAGAAGACTCTACACTATCTCAGCAATCTGCTGCGGCTGTATTTCTCAAGGATCTGGCTACTAAATGAGAAAAATATTTTTCTTAATTTTACTACAATAAAATGTGTTACATCCAAGTCTAGGTTTTATTTGTATGTAGACTATGTCCTATATTTTCAATGTTTAAAAATGATTTAAAATTTATGTTTGGCAGTTCTTGTTGCTATTATTAAGATATTAAGCATTCTTAATTAAAACATTCTAGGTGAAAAGAGATGGCTCAGCAGTTAAGCACACCCTGCTCTTGCAAAAGACCCATGTTTGGTTTCTAACCCCCTCAACAGGCAGCTCACAAACACCTACAACTCCAGCGCCAAGGAATCTGAAACCCTCCTCTGGACTCTGGTGTACCTGCGTGCATGTGCACATACCTATACAGTCATAGACATTTACACCTAATTTTCAAATAATAAAAAAGTGAATTCCTAAAATTCTAATGCCTTGTCAAAATAAAAATACAAGTGTCCCTTTTATTGGCAGTGCTGAGGTAGGTAATCTTCAAAACCCACACTGTTTTTCTTTTTTTAAATGTAGGCTGCCTTTTAATCTACGGCTATCCTATTCAGCAACTGACACTCTGCTACCAACAGCAGCAAAGATGCTTTTCCCTCGGGAACTGACTCTTTCAAAGCTACTAAGAAACCTTACTTAAATCTCTGTCCAACTAAAGAACTCAAGATTCAAAGGCTAAGGTGGAATCACGCTTCCCAGAGAGGCTGAACCGCAAGCAGCCCACCTAGCTCACCTCCCGAGTCTTGCAAGAAGTCCTCATGCTCGGTCCCCCACTCCTTGTAAACCCTTCTCCACCTGGCTCCTCCCTACAACTTCCTGTCAGCTAGTTGCTGACCCAGGCTTGCATCATTAAACAAATGTTCCAGAGCTTAAGCAAAAGTTAAAATTAATATTCTGCATCACACAAGACTGGGAGTAACTCTCCCACTGTAGTCAACCACCCTTACTCTCCTAGGAAAAAGGCAACATAAATGATGTCAACACTTTTATGATGGTAACTGTTCAAATGTGGCGGTGACCATGACAATGAAAATACCACAGGCCTTTGTGCCAAGTATCAGTATGTTTGTCTCTCAATTTCACAGATAAGCCTTAACATTTTCTTTGCAATGAGAGACACAATTCCCTCAGCACTTGTCATTTATCAAATGTGATTTTGTTCTCCCTACAGCTGGGCACTGGAACTCAATGGTAAGGAGGACAGCAGAAGGGATGAGTGTCTCAACAGGACAAACAGTACATCTGCTACAGTACAGCCACATGCTCAGCCCTTAACCTCACAAGACTGGCCTGACCTTGAGATCACTTCTCACTGCCCTTTCGATAAACACAGCATGTGAAACAGGCTGTTTTCAAAACAGAGCTGACGGTCCCCTGCAGACTGCGACCAGCCACATACTTTAAGATCTGAAGACTGGCAGATAAAGCAGAAAAGTTTTCTGGCACCCAGTAGGCTACAACTAGCTCTTACGAACAAGTCCAAACCCCAATGTCGGAAAGGAGGTCATTCCTTTAATTTTGGCATTCCTTAATCCATGTCATCCCTAGGATTTCCTCCAGGGTTCTTCATTTGTAACTTCCATGTAGTACTTTTAGGTCAAGTTTTTGGTCTTTTTGTTTTGTTTTGTTTTTCTTGACACGGTTTCTCTCTATTGTTTTGGAGGCTATCTTGGAACTCGCTCTGTAGACCAGGCTAGCCTCGAACTCACAGAAATCTGCCTGTCTCTGCCTCCCGAGTACTGGGATTAAAAGCGTGAGCCACCAACGCCTGGCAGTAATTCTTAGTACTAAAATTTTCCTTTTTTAATAACTGTATGATATATTCCAGAAGTGAGACAGAAATGGGTTCAAATTTCTCTATTTACCAGACTGTAGTCCTGAGCTAATGTGTAATTTAAATGATGTCTTGGGGGCTGGAGAGATAGCTCAGAGGTTAAGAGCGCTGACTGCTCTTCTAGGGGTCCTGAGTTCAATTCCCAGCAACCATATGGTGGCTCACAACCATCTACAATTCAATCTGGTGTCCTCATCTGGCACATAGGCAGAACATTGTATATGTAATAAATAAATAAATCTTTAAAAAAAAAAAAAAACTAGCCGGGCGGTGGTGGCGCACGCCTTTAATCCCAGCACTCGGGAGGCAGAGGCAGGTGGATCTCTGTGAGTTCGAGGCTGAGCTGGACAGACAGCCTCCAAAACAATACAGAGAAACCCTGTCTCGTAAAAAAAAAAAAAAAAAAAAAAAAAACTAAAAATCTTTTTAATAAAATAAAAAATAAATAAATAAATGATGTCTTGGGCACTCTCCTTATAATTTGAGAAACTATCACTGCTTCTTCACAGGATCATTAAAAGTAATTGGGATGATGGGTGAAAAAAAGATATGCAAGTACTCAAGAGATGATCTTTCTTATTCCCTTCATCGATCTATAGCCTACTGGCCAACTCACTCCTTTATACCGAGAAGATGGGAAGAAAAGTATGTGACTCAAAAGTCATAAATGGAAGAAACGGGCACTTCAAAGCAGGACTGGTATGAAGCAGGCATATGAATACAACACAATGGGGACATTAACCTTCCAGCATCAGTCTCCTTGAAAATTCCATCCTGATTAGGACATAGCTCACAGCTGGGAGAAACACCACATTTACAGGCATCACAAAACCAAGGCTCAGTGGAGTTTTCCGAAGCTGAACTCATAATGGAGTCACTCTCCCCATCAACTCCATAACAACCTAAAAAAAAGAAAGAGAAGCAATAGTTATTATTTAATAGGGTTTATTTTTTAAACTCACTTTTGTAAAATCAAAACAGAAATAGAAAATGAAAATACAGAAAAATTCTGAAAGAGGCAATGGTGTATAAGAATGACATAAAAAAATAGTGGTTTATAAGACTGACATAACAAATGAGTAAAACCTTTTTTTGCAAAATTACTTTTTCACCTTACAGCTATGGCTTACATAATCCATTTCAAATAAATGTTAGCCCTATGTTATTCAAAAGGATTAGAATAGCACATTTCAATGTACTCAAAAGTCTTATAAGAGAGTGCCAAAGAAATCGTTTTAAAGGGATTAAATAGCACACAGCAAAGGGATCAAAATGTACTCATTTGTTTAGTATTAAATTTCAGTTAGCAACCACCATCTTCATTGCTTATGTGTAAGTAAGATTCTGTCACACAAAACCCATAAACTTAAAGGACTTAAAATTTTCTTGTTCATTCAGTTACTGATACCTATAAAAAAGCAATAACTAAAATCTATTCAAAGAGCCGGGCGTTGGTGGCGCACGCCTTTAATCCCAGCACTCGGGAGGCAGAGGCAGGCGGATCTCTGTGAGTTCGAAGCCAGCCTAGTCTACCAAGTGAGTTCCAGGACAGCCTCCAAAGCTACAGAGAAACCCTGTCTCGAAAAACCAAAAAAAAAAAAAAAAAAATCTATTCAAAGAAACATCATAAAAGAAAACAATAAAAAATAAATCTATTTTCTCAATAAGAAATCTAACAGTACAGAGACAGAAATCTACTTTCTTTACAAAATAATGTTCCTTTAAAGCAAACTATTTCAAGCCAGATGAAATCTGTATTCAAAGTAGACAATTAACAAAATAATAATGACCCCAAGGGGCTATCAAATTTACTAATTTCATTCAGTAAAATCAGGACAAATCACAGCAGTTCATGTTTCAATTCTGTTCTAAAAGCACACGCTACACATAGTAAACATTTGCAGAGTTCTAAACCACCTACAAATATCTATGGCAATGGATTCTGAACTTCATTCTCTAACATGTTCCTCTGTAACCCAGAACACTGAAACTCTTCCAGTCAAAGGACAGCCGTGGGCATGTGAGGAAGAGCTTCCTCATTTGCCCTGAAAACTGACACACACTGTACCTGCAGAGTTCTGCACTTGCCATTCCCATATTTCCTGTCATACTCTTTGTATTTACTGATCTCTAAACCAAAATTCTGGCACTTTATACCAACTCTAATTCAATCCGATTAATGACTAGATATATTTTTAAGTATGTGTTACTTTCAGTCAAAACATGAGCACAAAAATAAACTATTCTTTCATCTGGGAAAAAAGTTAAATTTCAAAAATTTATAAGCAAAAACTCATGTCGTGTATGTCAGCTATTTTCAAGTGCAAACACATGTTTAATAAAAGAAATCTATACAAACCATATTAAGGAAAATATACAAAATGTTGAATTTTCTTGAATTTCAAAGACATAGATAATCCAAATCAGTATAATTTAGATTTTAAAAAAGAGACAAATAATGCATACTCTTCTGTCTTCTAGCTATACAGCTTTGCACAAACTGAATCTTTATGGGTTGGCAATCTTATTGGTAATAATCATTATTTACCAACGTTTATCGTATCTCTTCAAATTTAATAGAAGAAAACACAAATATAAAAGTTGCCATATAGAGCAAAGGATTAGCAGCCTACAGTCCACACCTCCAGAGAAGTTAGGAAACATAGAGGACCCTAGGACCCTAAGAGAGACATACATGGTCCCCAGAGAAGGGACAAGATCTCCTGAGAAAATTGGGAGCATGGGGGTTAGGAGTTAGGAGATAGGAAAGGGGAAGAGAGGAGAGGGGATGAGGACATGAGAGAGAGAGGAGGAAGATAGAGTCAGGGGAAGAATAGAGGAGAGCAAGAAAAGAGATACCATAATAGAGGGAGCCATTATAAGTTTAAAGAGAAATCTGGCACTAGGGAAATGTGAGAGATCTACAAGGATGGCACCAACTAACAATCTAAGCAATAGTGGAGAGGGTATCTTAAATGCCCTTCCCCAATAATAGTCTGAATACTATCTTATATGCCACTCTAGAGCCTTCATCCAGTAGCTGACGGAAGTAGAAGCAGACACCCACAGCTAATGAACTCCTGGAATCCAGCTGTAGAGAGGGAGGAGTGATGGAGCAAAAGGGTCAAGACGAGGCTGGTGAAAGCTACAAAAACAGCTGCCCTGGACAAGGGGGAGCTCATGGTCCCCAGACTGACAGGTAGGAAACCAGCATAGGACCAAACCAGGCCCCCTGAATGCGGGTGTCAGTTAGGAGGCCTGGGCACTCTATGGGGCCTCTGGTAATGGATCAGCATTCATCCCAAATGGAGGAATGGACTTTGGGAGCCCATTCCACATAGAGGGATACTCTCTTAGCCTAAACACACAGGAGAGACCCTAGACCCTGCCCCAAATGATGTGACAGACTTTGATGGGGAGCAGAAGAGGATGAGATGGGGGACACTTCCACTGTTATGCATTTTTACCTGCATTTTGTCCTTCCTCATCATCTAATATAGTACCTTTTCTTATTCTTCTTTCTAAATGTCAAACTATACACATACCTACATTTGTTTACACATATACATGATATATATCATAGACTATGATCAACATATGAGTGAGAATATGTAAGGTTTTTTCTCCCTGAAATGTGGTGATCTTGCTTACTATTATATATTCTAAGTCCATCCATTTTCCTGCTAATTTTGTGACTTCAATTGTCTTTAGAATGAAATAATAGTCCATTTTATATATGTGCGAGATTTTCATTATCTATTTATCTGTTGAAGAACATCTATCCCATTTTATGGAAACACAATTAGCTTCAAACTAAAACCTGACAGGATCACAGCACAAAGAAAAGGAAATGAAAAAAAAAGAGAGAGAGAAAAAGGATGGGGGAAGAAAACTGTACCCCAATGTACCTAAACCCTGATGCAAATATCCTCAACAAAATACCAGGAAATCAATTTGAAGAGCATATCAAAAAAACTCATACACCATAATCAAGCTGGTTTCATCCCAGGTATGATTCATTATATGCAAATAAACAGCAATCAACTTAATAAAAAATGAAAAATATCATAAAACCATTCCAACAGATATAGCAAAAAATTGATGAACATCCCTTCCTGACAAAACTCTGAACAAATCAGCTACACAGGGGTCAAACTCAATATGATAAAGGCTATGTATGAGCAAACCACAGCAAACAGCATAATGAATGGGGGAAAACTACAACTATTTCCTCTATGATCAGGAATAAATGAGAGTGTCTAATTTCACTGCTTTTATCCAACATAGTGATACAATCTGTAGGAAGAACAATTATCCATGAAAAAGAAAGAAAAGTTATACAAACAGAAAAACAGAATAAAATTATCCTTGTTTTTATGTGATATATCAAATATATATGTCTACATAAAAGTATCTATTGATATCAACAATGACTACTAGACCAAATAAACAAATTTCATTAAAAAATGAAACAGACTAAAAACACAAAGATCAATAGCTTTTCTACATACCAGTAATGAATTCTGTGCAGTAGAAATCATGGCATGCCATACCCAAAGTGAACTACAGATTCTATACAATCCCTATCAAATTCTAATGACATTCTTTACAGAGTTACAAAATATTACCCCTAAATTCCAAAGAATATGATGTCAGCATCAAAAGAGTTATTTGCATGCCAAGTTTACTATAGCACTAGTCACAATAGCTAATACATAATCTGCATAGGTACCTGTCAATAAATGAACAGAAAAATAAATTATGATATACCTTTATAATTCAACTATAAAGAAAAAAGTCACTTACAAAAGTTTTTAAATATGATGGAGATGAAAGTTACTATAGTCAGTGAAATAAGCAAAACACAGAAAGACCATGTTCATATGTGGAAATTTAAAAGAACTTGAACTGAACAAAGAAGAGGAATTTATAGGAATTGAGAAGGGTACCAAGTGCAGAAATCAGAAGAAATGGGCATAATCAACGATTATTTCTGCATACCTGGAAACACCACGGTGAATATTATTAGTTTGTACAAGTCATAAGTATTAATAAGATAAACAGAATGAAAAAAGATTGCACAGCATTTCAGCTTGTTCAGTTAGGATGTTCAAGCACAGTACCAATTATCTAATTATACAACCTGAAGGTTTATTCAAAAGTGGAAAACTACAGTCCTCCTTTTACAAGTCAAATAGTAGCTAGTTCTCAAAAACACTTAAAAGCACTAGTCCAGGAGCACTGAATGCTTTCTTGTCTCCTTCTTCCTTCGTGAAAACATAACTGTGAGTAGGAGGGGTGCACTTGGAGAATATGGATTACATGGATACCAACTACAGGGTCTGGAATCACCTTGTACTACTTATATAAACTAACTGAGCTGGAGAGATCTACCCTAAAGGTACCCTAAAAGCGGGCAGTAACATTCCATGGGCTGGGGACTTGGACTGAATAAAAAGGAGAAAATAGGTTGGATACAAGCACTCCTCATTCTCTGCCTCCTGATTTCAAGTGTTTTGCCCCAGCAATACATGGCGTAACTAATACAACCAGAAATCATTAGTAAATGCTCAAAAGTATTTGAAACTTATACTGTGAAACTCCATTATGAAGCTTTTTACACACAACTTTTGAGCTCATATGGCATTGCTACTTACCTTGATCATCTAATTTGTCTGCCTTGACTCAGGCAGGCATTTTAGTTGTTTCTAAAATCCAAAGCTACCTTAGAAAGGAACATCTGTCTTTAATGAAGCTATTCACTTAAAACATAGAACCTTTAATTAATCTTAAAGATGTCAGCAGGACTATATGGTATCCTTACAGATTTCTATGTTCATCTGAACAAAGAATCTATTAAGAAAGAATTTACCATTAAGAAATAACCTATGGTTTTGAACAG